TTGTATAGATTTAAAAATAGGTCAGTACAAGATTTTTAATTGTAATAAGCAACACAATAACAAAGAAAATGAAACTAACCCCTAACAGCAGATGCTTTAGAGAGCCATATTAACCCTTTCCAATTTCAGGATGAATCACTTGAAGAAACAAAAAATAACTGATTTTAGTCATCTAAATGAGTAATGCATGCCCAAACTGTAATTAATGATTCACTTAACTAGACTATTGTCAAGTATATTGTAAATGTGCAATAAAGAGTGATTTTTAATTTTTATTGTTAATAACTGAATTACTGTCTGAAATAAAATTATTAGAAATATATTCATGAGTTTATAGAAAGAATAACTGACATTTATTTTTACTTATAGCACAAAAAAACTTTATAATTAATTTTTCTTTATTAAAATAAGAAATGATCTGAGTTATTCCAATGGGCAGAAATAGGGCAGGCATCTCAATTTCCAAAGTGAGAAAACTGAAACAAAAAGAAGCGTAAGCTTATTTATTCATTTTCCCAGGTGGTTTTTTGAAATCTAGGACAAAATAGTTATTACTGGTATATACTAATTATGCACAGTAAGGGGGTTCGCTATGACATTTCCTTACATACATATAATATGCTTTGATCATATTCACTTCTCCCTTGCCCCCTTTTATTTTCTCCTGTCTCCCCACCTCTCCCTCTCCCTTCTCCCTTCCGAACACTCCACTCGCATGACTGTGTTCCAACTTCCACAGTTGCCATAATTGCCTTTGTGGTATTGGCTTATTTTATTTAGCATGATGATCTCTATTCCATCCTTTCACTACAACACTACAAATTTTATTTTTATGATAAGTGTTAGTAACAGCATTTTAAAGGACACATAATATTCTTGTAAGGTATGATGTGTTTTTTATTGGCTTTACAGATGTCATCTTGCCTCTCAATGAAACCATTTAAAAGAAAATGGAAGTGACAAAAGACAGTAGCTAACATTGATAAAACTTTCATATCTTAGATACTTTCATAGTCACTCTAACATGTTATTTAATTTAATGTTCTCAGTACTCTGAATCAGATGATGCATCTGCATATTAAAGACAAGGAAGAGAAATAATGTTACCACATTCAGAATGTTTAGAAAGCAACTTCAATTTTTTTTGTCCAATTTCAAAGCTGGCACTCTATCTCTCTATATTGTTTGTAAGATTTGGTAACTTTCTAGAGTTGGATATTCACTGAGGAAACTTTGCTAATAATAATGCTGCTAAACAAACAATAGGAAAAAGGCACAATCTGGTGCAACAGTGAACCATTTATATCTTATTTAGGACAAATTTCATTGCTTATATCTGTGAAAACCTACTTGATACATGCAGATCACAATTTAATATGGGCTATTTCATTCAGTAGCTTTCATTCCCTGTCCAACCTTTTATCTTTGGTGGCTGCTTAGAGAAGCACTGATAAAATTATGTTATGTCTTAGTGCTTCTCGACTTCTGTTATTTATATGAATGTTATTAATATGCAGAACTGATTCAGTAAGTGTAGGAGAGGGTCTAAAATTGTGCAGTTTTATAAAGCTTTCATGTGGAACCAATGCTGCATACACCAAATAAATCTGTATTACAGGACAACAAACTCTGTAAATGTCTAAAAAGGTAAATATTTTAGGCTTTGCAGGCTAAATATAAATATGTTTCTGAAATATATTCTTTTTCTGTAAACTACTTATTACTTTTAAACCTTCTTTACTATAATATACACAAGTCAACAGTTAGATACAGCCTGTACATCAGTTTGCCAACCACACATCTATGGAACTGGTTCTGAAATTTTGTTGTGTAAGACAATCATTTGGAGAACCCTTAAAAACACGCCTACCATTATGTAGTTCCATATTTGGCTTATGACCAAATATTTTAAGTTAATGGGAACTGACATAGAAATAAGAATCCTTAAAAGTTTCTCATATTATTTCTAATATATGTTGAAATTTGAGAACAGTGACCCCATTACTTTCCATTTCTACCCATTTGAGGCTTTGGAAGACATTGTATTTGTAGTAATTTGGCTGACTGTGCCCAAGAGACATCATGAATCAGTAAAAAATGAAACTTGATACTACACTAAAGGCTGATTGAAAGTATAAGTAAGTAGGTTACTAAAGAAAAAAAGGGAAACAGAAAACTTGAAATAGAATAATAAATTGAAAGGCTATGAAAAGTAGAAATCACTATAATTACAATCAATTCAGGATAATTAGAGGAAAACTTTAAGAGGAATCAGCTAGTAGAATTCTGTTTTAAAGATTAAAGTATGCCATTATGAATAACTTCAGAAGTTAGCATAAAATATTCTGTTAAGAATTTTAAGCCATTAAACATACTTTATACTATATATTTTCACTATAAAGGCTTTCCTAAGGAAGTTATAAATTTTTATTCAGCTGTCTGAATAAATATGGATTCAAATTAATAGGCACTTTTCAAAAACATTGATAGCATTTGGCTATTTCTCTCTGAAATCCCAATGTTGATTAGCACTGTGGAAACCATACTTCTAACTCTGTAATTCCTACATTAACAGATTGAAAAATTACATCTGTTATCCCAGGTAAAATTATTTACTGCTGTATGGTATTTGTTCAAAGTATTAATACATTATTACAGTAAGTTGTAATATATAGATACATATCTACACATAGGTACTTTGACCATATTCACCCTTGTCCACCCTCGCCATTCACCCTTCTCCCTCCTGTCCCTCGACAGTACAACAGCCTGTTGTACTACCCCCCTTTGAATGTATATATTAATTGAGTTTCACCATTGTTTTTCACACAAGCATATATTATATTCAGATTAACTCTCTCTGATACTTTGGATTTTTCCTGCCCTGGTCAATCCCCTATTGTTCTGCAGCTTTTAGTGAGATTCTTAATACTCTTTTCCAACAAATGTCAAGGAAACAATAACAAATACCAGAGAGGATAAGGGGATAGGAACTTCATACACTGTTGGGAATGTAAGATACTGCAACCACTATGCAAATCTGTATGGAGGTTTCCTATAAAACTAAAAATAAACTACTGTGTGATCCCACAATACTACTCTTGGGAATATATCCAAAACAAGAAATACACATCTATATATCCATGTTTATTGCAGCTCTGTTCACAAAAAAACAACACTTTATTTTTATCTTGACTGATATTCTTTTTAGTTTTCATCTAGAGATAATGCTGTTTGTGGTTTTAACTTCCTTGATTACGTTCCTTTCTACAAAAAAAAACTATCAGGTTAAAATAACACTTCTGCATACAGTAAAACTGCATAGCAGCATATAATATTTATAAGATACTTTCATTCATTCTTATTCAACAAACAAAAACATTACATGCTCAAGAAATATTGATTGATTGGATGAATTAATGACCACTTATTCTATAAATTATGCTCAATTTAAATTCTATCCATGAGTTAAATCCCACTTAAATGGCAACCGCATATCCTAAGGATTTCAGAACACTTCTTTGACTTAGGAGTCCGTATGCTCCTTCTGATTAAAAAGCAGAAGTTTTAAAAAAAACTTATCTAGTATCCTGTTATTGAGATGAAAGCTGAGAGTATATTGGAAGCCAAGTTTTCTACCATGGTCTGCTTTCTATTATCATGGATTCATCAGAGATAGTAAATGTATATGTCAGTACATTCATTTCTGCATATGGCTAATGGAGGAAAAAAGTAGAAAATTAAATGAAAATAGTATTACCAGAGTTTCTTCTATCAGATAAAACTTCAATTTACATTAACTATCCCACAGTACACTTCATGTTTTTTTACTAACGCAAAGACAAACTGAATGTCTTTTTCTTTCTGTAAATAGGAAAAGACAGTCGCAGTCACAGGTCTCTTAAAATACAAATGTCCTTTCCCTTTAATTATGATATGCACAACTTTTAATGGAGAAGTCAGAATGTCTTACAGCGTTGTACATTTTACTTGCAAAAATTACAAACTTAGCTGGGCACCTATGGCTCATGCCTGTAATCCTAGCTACTCAGACGGCTGGTTTCTGGACTGTGGTTCAAGCAAGCCTGGCCAAGAAAGTCAGTGAGACTCTTATCTCTAATAACCTACTCAACAGAGCAAAACTGGAAGTGGCACTGTGGCTCAAGTGGTAGAGCACTCACCTTGAACTTAAAAGAAGCTCAAGGACAGCATCCAGGCCCAGAGTTCAAGCCCCAGGACTGGCAAAGTAAAAACTATCAGAGATGAGACATGTTAAGAAGGACCATCAATCAATAACTAATTACAAATCCACTATGCATTTGATCCAAAAAGACTTTAAATAACTTTAAAGTATATGTTTAAGTATACGTATTGATAAAAGCATTATTCCCTCTTGTTTCTGCTTTTAAGATTGCTTTAATTGAAATGATAACAACTAAGCATATTACATAAAAAGTCTACATTGTCTAAGATGAAAAACTCAAGACTTCTAAAAATAAGACATTTATTATCACATTGTTATGTTTTACATCTTCATCAAAATTATGAAGAATACTAATGATCAGTACTAAATACATTTACCTTATTTTCCCAATTCTGAATCAAATTTGGGTCATAATGCTAAAAGACAGTAGTATTAAACCAAACAAAGAATAAATGTATACATATGTAGTTCATTCAGAAAGAAAATATAAAGCAAACTTTAGAAAAAGAATATGCTGTGAAAAAGTAAGCATAGAAGTCATTTAATCTGAAAACATTATACATTGTATATACTTGAGTTACAAACATGTTCCAAGTGTACATATTATTTCTTGCATAACACACTGACAAGTCAAGTTACATAACCTGATAAGAATCAAATAAAAACACTTAAAGTAATATCCCTAGCATTAACATCAATTCTAGAACAGTATTAATCAAAATTATATTACTACAGTTAACAATGTTAAAGTTTCAGTTTGTTATTAATTAGTAAAAGGTATTATCTATATTATATTTCAGTCAGAATCAGAATTTTCAGATGTCTTATCACTAATGGTAGGGAAAGTTCTTAAGCCTTGTTTTCTTTCAGTTCTGAGTTGGTGCAAATGTTCTTTCATATCCTGAGAAATATGGCAAATCCGTCCTTCTATGCCAGGAACTGCAATTATTGCTGAGGGCTTATCTGAGTCTTCCACAAAGGCTACAAGTGAGTAAAAACAGTTTTAAAAAAGTCATGGCCCTAAAAATAAATATTCTAAAATTGTGTCTAGGGGTTTATTGGAATAAATGATTTGAAATTCACATCAATAATTTAAAAGAATCTTTCCATTCTCTACATCAACTGTTCAATGATGAATAAAGGTTTAGAGAACAAATTACCAAGTTTATTTCAAATCAAAAAGACATCAATTCACTCAAAAGACCTGCATCCAAAAATGGGAGTGTTTGGGGTAGGTATGTTTAATTGACTTGAACATTACACAGTGTGTACATGTATGGGAACATCACATGGTGCTCCATAAATATGTACAATTTTAATGTGTTAATTTTAAAGCTTTCTAAATATTGTTATCTATTATCCAAAAAGGATTATAAGATAATATATATTTTAAAGAAGGTATTTACTTAATTATCTATTTGATAATGTGATTTTTTTGTTCCATCTTCTCATTTTACCTGTTTGAGAAAAAAGTAGGTGGACACAAAATAACATTGCACTATAAACTGTGTGAAAACATATAAAGATGTACTAAAACTAAACGATGATGTTTTACTTCCAAAATTACAAATATACTTTTCAAAAATTGAGCATAATGATAAGGATAATTATTCTATCAAACAATTATGAAACTTCATTATGAATTGGTCCAATTTAGTCTTTTGTTCTATTTTTGGGAGTGCCATATAACAAAGCAGTTCATAATTACAATGGGTCTTGACCAATGCCACCCCCTTCAACATTCTCACCCCCATTTGGCCCACTCTTCCCTTTTCTTAATTTTGTGGTATATACAATTAATCGTAACTGTGTTCTCTCCCTTTCCCCCTTTCCTTCCATACCCCTCCCCTATTGGTCTCCCCCCCCATAGGATGTACCCATTTCCTGGCATTGATTTTGTTGGGTTTTGACCTAGTCTTTTTTTTAAATTTTTATTTATTTTTATTGTGAAAACACTGTACAGAGGGGTTACAATTACATGGGCAAGATAATGAGTACATTTCTTATTAAGCATTGTATCCTCCTCCTTTGTTTCCCCTTCCCATCCTCCCCCCCTGCCCCCCCCCCACAATCTTCCCCGCCTCTCTACCAAAGTTGTAAAGTTGGTTTTCGACATAACAACTTGTACTTCTCATTGTTGCAATGGGTCCACCTGTATCCCTATTTAAACGACTTGTTTTTGCCCTTCCCCTCCACAAATTATACCAACATCAAATACAGTGAAAGCAGGGGTTATACTGTGGGGGGAGGGACATACAAAGCAACAAAGAAATTATCTTATAAATGCATTAGAAACAATCCCGTGAAAGAAAAAAAAACATTTGAATACATATCTTAGGGTTCATTTCCCTAACATCACCCTATCTGACCTTTTGTGCTTGACTCAGACATATGTAGATATTGCAAATAAGGGAAACCATGGGACCTATGTTTCTTTGGGTTTGGCTTACTTCACTTAATATAATTTTTTCCAAGCCTTTCCATTTCCTAACAAATGGGGCAGTGTCATTCTTTCTGATGGAGGCATAGAATTCCATTGTGTATATATACCACATTTTCTTGATCCATTCATCTACTGAGGGGCATCTGGGTTGGTTGGCTCCATATCTTAGCTATAGTAAATAATGCTTCAATAAACATAGTTGTGCTGGTAGCTTTAGTGTGGTCTTGTTTGTAACCATTTGGGTAAATGTCCAAAACAGATGCTGGAGGGGATATGGACAGAAGGGAACCTTACTGCATTGTTGGTGGGAGTGTAAACTTGTTCAACCACTTTGGCAAGTAGTATGGAGGTTCCTCAAAAGACTCCTCATGGAGCTCCCCTATGACCCAGCTTGACCTAGTCTTTTTTAACAGATTACTGATACTAGTTTAGTGCTCCACAGAATGCAAATCTGTAAGTAAACATGTTGGAAGGTATGCAAGTGGTTAAAAAATGAATTAATTGCAGTATAATAGACTCCAATTTAGTATTGACTGATGACAAAGCAACTTTATAAAAGAATAATACTTCTAGACCAAATGTGCTCTTTGTGACAATGCACAATGTTTATCAGGTAGGGAAAGATTAAATGTTTTATGGGAAAAACTAAGGCATTATGATAGGTTAGAATGTTTCATATAGAGGGGCTGGGAAGGTGGCTCAGTGGTAGAGCCTTTGCCTTGCATGCCTGAGGCCCTGGGTTCGATTCCTCAGTACCACATAAGCAAAAAGAAAAAAGCCAGAAGTGGCACTGTGGCTCAAGTGGTAGAGTGCTAGCCTTGAGCTGAAATGCTCAGGGACAGCGCCCGGGCCCAGAGTTCAGGTCCCATGACCGGACCTCCCCCCCCCCCCCCCCCCGCCAAAAAAAAGAATGTTTCATATAGAAAAGAAAATATGTAAAAGGAGGTGAAGTAAGATTGTAGAAAAATATATTTTTTAGAACTTTTTATGCTTTTTAGCTTTGAACTTTTATTTATGCTCTTATAATCTCATTTTCCGCACGTGTGGCTTTTTACTTTAGTAAATAATGCAGTCTTGATTGTATTCACATTGCCTCAAGCATAAGAAGAGAACATCAAATATTATTCCATGTCCTGTCCAAAGTTATTCAAAAAGGAAGCCCTTCTAATAAAAAAAACCTGTCTTATCACCTGTTAGTGATGGTGATTTGTTTGTAGTAGTAATTAAACTCATCCGATGGCCTGAAAGGCATTTCTTCCTTCCTTGCAAAATTTTGATGGATTCAAAGTGATTCATGACCACTGTAGAGAGGATCTGTGCGGTTTCTGTATCAAACATCCGAGGGCAGCTTTTAAGCATACTGTAACCATCCTTCCCCTGAAACATAAAAGATACCGCAATGTTCCAATCCAGAAACATGAATAAGTCAAAGTGCATTTTTAAATTTGCTGTTAGCACTGGCTCAAAAATTTAAACGGTACCAATTTTTGGCACCGTTTAAATTTCTATCCTAGGCCCTGGATCTGAACATGATAGCCTTTGAACTGTTGACCCTTGTTCTGTTGCCTAGCAGCCTTAACAATGGGCCAGCCACCTAAAATCCCTGTTAACTAGCCTACTGCCAAGTCTGTTTAGACCAAAGCCCATCTGATACCTAATAAATGGCTCTCATTATTAAAACTATGGAATCTACTAACAAGTTTCCTGCTACTGCTGACATTGCTCCAGTCTCCAGTATTTAAGAACTCTCTGAATTAAACTGTAAAGTCCTGAAAGAGTAAGGCGATCACATTGTATTGCATATACCTAAATATAAACATAAACAAATTAAAATAGGAGCCATAAATGTGCTAGAAGTGTTTATCACTAAATTTAAAGTTCAACCATTAGACATTTTTTGTCTAGCCATTTCTTGCTGTATGTCAATCATTTCGAAAATAATAAGTGAAATTTTTACATTCTATATTTTTATAAGTCTGATAATATAGAAAATGTAGCTATATGGCATTTAATGAGATAAAATAATTCATCAATCATAAAAAATGCAGTGGGTCTGAAATCATCACAAGAAAATTAAATGTATTTACATGCATGTATAAGAACATATGAATAAACAGAAGACAATAAATTTATAGAAGGTTTTCAAAAGAAGGTTCTCACATTTGCAATATACTCCTTAATGGCAAGAAGGTAGACTTTTTTCTTCTGTAAGTACTGCCCTTGAACTTTCACAGTGTCTCTTATGATTCGGTGTCCTGGCTCTGCATCTGGGTCAAATCCAAACTCTATTCCAGCAACTTGAGGAAATCTGAACATTTGAAATACATTGTTAAATAAATATATATGTGGGTATATATATATATATATATATATATATATATATATATATATATATATAGTTGAATAATCCTGCAAAAGACATACTAATAAAAAGTGAGAGCATTAAATTTTAAGTAAGGACATCCTATTATTGTACTTAAAATGCCAAGGTGTACAGGCTAGGAATTTATACAGCTGGAAAGATTTTATCAAATTATCTGTCTTTTTCAGAAATAAAAGGAATGATAATAATTCAAGGAACTAACACTGAATCTTCTGTTGTCTCAGCTTTCACTCTCAATTCTAAAGGAATAAAATGAGGAGATAACATGCACATCTACTTAAAATATTGGCTTTCTCACTGGTTTCAAATAAGCCCATCCGACTGAAATATTTTAAGGAAAGTGAATTCATTCTTTGGTGAAGGCTTGTACTAATATTTGCATACAGTTGTATCTTATGCACATTACAATGCCTGAAAGTTATGATAATGTCCTTGAGTAATTAAATAAGATAAACTTTAGTGATATACTTGAAGGCAGAAAAGAACACAGTACACATATTTTAGAATGTTTTCAAGTACATAAAAGGATAAAATTTAAGTTCTAGTCCTTAATTTATTTTTAGCTGAAAAAAAAACTAGCTTTTCCTAATAACAGACTCAGGGTCTGTCTGAATCACTGAGGATTTTTCTTCAGGTGCAATAGTAACTAACAATAAGTAATTTAAAAGTATGCACATGGTAGTTTCATGATTACCTTTGATTACTGAAGACAGGAAACATGCAAATATTTTCCCCAAAGCTATTACTGAGAAGATCTGGGTTGATTTGTGCATTTGACTCAGTTTCCCAACTAATTAATGCTGACAGACAGAATAATGCCTATATTATGGAGTCCATCTCCAAACAACAGCATTGGTTAACAATGTTGATGAATTTTACTCCTTAAACATCTATTAGTCACTCTGGAAAGGAGGTAGGAAGGATTTCTACATGTATGAATCACTTTTTATTACTGCTTCTTTCATAATGTTATCCTAACTATACCAAAATAACATCTTAATGTTTGGTATAATCTACAGATAACAAAGTGGAGTATGAAATACTACAAAATAATTTTTAAATATTGTTAGTCTTGACTAATAATAAAACAATGTCTTGCCTCAATGACATCCTCTCTCAACTTTTATTAGATCAAAATAGGCCAAAATGTTATTAATCTTTAACTATTCTTAAATCCATACTATCCTATTAAATCAGTTAGCAAACTATGAAATTGCTTACTGTGTACCAGATACTATTTTCAGTCCTGTAGATTTTCAAAAAGGCAAATTACATTCACTAACTTTATACCAGGGAACTTCTAAAGAAAGATAAACTGTCTTAAGGATCATGGAATGAGCAAACCTCATAAAATCTATTTCTACTGAGCTTTGATACTTCCCTGAAGAAAATGATTGACATTGAGAAGGAGGACATAGGATAAGAATCTGCAAGTTTAAGTAATAGGTATGTACAGGTTGAAGGAGAAAAGAACAGCAACTAAATAACGTTAATTCTGAAACCTAGGCTGAATTGAAATCATATTTGAAATTCTTTAGTGGCTCTATTCCTCTATTTAATATTAAGAAATCATATACTTATGAAAACATTGTTGGTTACATCTTAAGTCTTCTGGCAATACTAATTGTAGGAAATTTGCATTTCTACTTTTGAAAACATATTTACAGAGCTTCCAAAGCCACTTTATCCTAAATTGTACACACAAGAATCCAGGTACAAGCCAGGAACTTGTGGCTCACATCTGTAAGCCTAGATACTCAAGAGTGTGAGATCTAAGGATGGCAGTTCAAAGCCAGCCCAGGCTGGAAAGTCCATACGACTCTTATTTCCAATAAACTACACAGAAAAAGCTGAAAGTGGCACTGTGGAACGGTGTTAGCCTTAAGAAAAAAGCTCAGGGACATCACCTACACCCCAAGTTCAAGCCGTAGGACTGGCAAGAAAAAAAAAAAACCAGGTATACTACAATAAGTTTCGGCATTTTTAATTTATCTATTAGCACCAGATTGGTTTGGTTTTAAAGCATAACAGATTCAATGCTCTCAGCTACAAACATCAGTCATTCTAAAACTAAACAATGAACAGAAAAAAAGAAAAGAAAAAATTCTATCACAAATCATCTAAAGTAAGATACAAAGGAATAAATGCTATAAAAGAAGTCTAAGAATTATACTCTGAAAACAACCATTACACTAAGAAATTAAAGAACTAAGTATATAGTAAGATATTAAAAGCTGTGGACTATAAGTTTTGATATTGTTAAGGTGGTCATATTCCCCAAATTGTCCTACAGACTGAACTTAGTCCAAATCAAAATCTTACCTGCCCCCCTTTTTTTTTTTTTGCAGAAATTAAGAAATTAATTCTAAAGTTCATTTTAGGATTTTCACTTTAAAAAATGCTGGAGGAGCCACATGGAGGGCCAAGATGGCCTGGTGCCAGCCGGAACGATGAATAAACCTACCCCTTACCTGAATGCCACATGCGTGGCGCTGTTCTTACTCGGCTACCTCTTTTTAAAAACCTAACTTAAATGGTGCCGACCTGGGAAGGGCTTCAAGTCAGAATAGGTGGGATTCCTCTCCGTTTTTTTTTCTTTTTCTCCCCCCCCCCCTTTTTGCTCTGAGAAATACCCACAGTTCTAACGGCCTTTTGCAAACCCGTCTGTCTGCTGTGGACACAGCGCATCGATACCATTGCTGGCCTTCACATCCACGTCCACACCACTTCTCTACTCTGGTGAGTGAAACTACTCTCTAGAGTTCTCTATTGCTCAGTCTCTGTTCAGACATGGCGCCACGCCAGAGAGCTCCTACGGCCTTTAGCTGAAAGGCCACTCACCTCTGAAGCCCAGTACGCTTGATTTTGGGGGCTTGGCCATTTCTCTCTAGAGGGCTCTGGGGGAAGTTGGGATGCTGCTTCTGCCTGGTCAGCTCTCCTTCACTCACCAGACTGACTCTCCTACACATTTAATGGGGTGCTGCGAGTCATGCCTGAGCCGTGAATCCCCTTTGAAATGCCTCCTGTGCTCCCTGGAAAGCCAGAGTGCCTCATTTTATGCCATTCTCAGATGTACACAGTTTTTGCTACTGCAGTGGTAAATGGTCAGAAGTCTGTTTAATTTCAGACTCTCTTTGCTCTCTCTCTCTGCCATTCATGTACAACTTTCCCTATCTCTCCCTTTCTCTTTTCTACAACATTTTGGCTTGTACCCTGAAGAGTGTGACTCAGGCTGGGTCCCGGGGACCCCCCCCTCCAGGTTCCCTCTTAAAGGCTAGCCAATGTAGGCTTGATCTATTTGTTCAGGGTTTCTTTGCATTCTTTCAGAAATTCGCCATCTTGAGTTCGCCATCTTGGCCACATGGTGGGTTAAGGGTTTGGCCCCATCTGACCCTTAACCTTCCACCAAGCTTACTATTCCATCCATCTATTCTAAGGTGCCTTGCTAACCAGTTACTCTTTTCACAGGCCCTGGTAAGTGAGGCCCAATCATACTATGTGCTTTGTTAGCAAAGATGTCTACTCATTGTTGTCAAAAATTTTAGGTTTTGAGTTTTGCCTTTTTTGTTTTGTGTTATCTATTCTACTACTGACTACGTGGTTCTAAAATACTGGGCATATCTGTGCTGAAATTCTCATCACATCTAACAAGTTCTGTCATTGCAGAATATTTGTTGGTCAATTCTTGATAAGACCAGGTAAGCTCTATTCTATTTGATCTTTTTATTGCTTTAATTGGAAATAATAAAGGGCTTTTGTGGTGAAGATTGCAGTTCAAAGCCAGCCCGGGCTGAAAAATCCCTAAGACTCCATCTCCCAACTAACCTGCAAAGAGCCAGGCTGGAAGCATGGCTCAAGACTCTTATCTCTAACCAGCCAAACTCTGCAAGTGGTACTGTAACTCAAAGTGGTTCAGTGCTGGCCTTGAGCAGAAGTACTCAGGGACAGTGCCCAGGCCTTGAGTTCAATCCTCCTTGAATACCAACTGGGACAAGCCATCCCCGCAATGAGCACCTAGACTCAGCCAGTTTGGGGAACAAGGGACCATGGAGTAAGAGGAGTAAGAGGAGATGATGTCACAGCAGCAACTTTGTGCCTGCCCTTTCAAAATTAACCAGAGCCAGGAGGTCAATAGAAGTAAGAAGCCTGCCCATCTAGTGTCTATACCTGTCTACCTATTAACTGGACAGGAATTCATATTTTTACCTTTGTTACCTGACTTCTCCTCTATCTAATCACCAGATGTCAGAAGTAGCTAGGGACATTTCTACCAATATTATTCAGCCCCAAGTCCTTCCTCTTGCCATTTATTAGCTCTCTAGTATTTTTCAGCCCCTCAATGCCTCATGAGACTTCTCCAGACTTCATCTAAGGACTCACGCCACCAAGGGACAGCTGCTGCTCGCTGCCTTCTCTGGGAGGGGACCAAATTCCAGCCTTTTACCCCGAAAGTCGGTGTCCCTTGTCAACAGGAAGTAGCCAGAGAGAATCTGCATCCTATTTCATGATTATTAAAAGGCTGGAATGTAAGGTCCACTCCTGGAAGGCGAGAAGACTCCATCGTCCTCGCAGCAAAGTCTCCACCCAGTACCTGCATTACCTAGGCAACTGGGACACCTGGAAGAGGTCACATCTGCATCCTCTGAGGCCATCTGAATTTGATGTGGCCAGACCTTTCTCCCTCCATGCCCTAGGTAAGGCCTAGCCCAGGCCCAGATGCCCTCTTTCCCAGCTCTCTCTCTTTCCCAGCTCTCTCTCTTTCCCAGCTCTCTTTCCCAGCTCTCTTTCCCAGGCCTTTCCCAGCTGCATGGAGGGCCAAGATCACTGGTGCCAGCCAGAATGATGAATAAACCTACCCCTTACCTGAATAAAAAAAAATGCTGGAGGACTCATATTTCTCCATGTTAAAACTTTAAAATGACAGAATAATCAAGTATGGGACTGACTATAAAAACAGAAATACACAGATCAATAGAATGCAATTATAAGTCCAGAAATAAATCTTTATATTTATGGTAAACTGCTTTGTGACAAGAATTTTCAAAAGTGCTTTGATAATGGTCTCTAACAACAAGATACCTACATCTAAAAGAATTCTTTGGGCCACTCCACATACATACTTGGCACTGGTGGCTCACACCTATAATCCTGAGTACTCAGGAGCCTGAGATCTTAGGATCACAGATGAAGCCAGCCTAGAAGAAAAATCCAAGTGATTCTCTCCAAATAACCAGAAAAAAAATGGCTCTAGTGGTTGGTAAGGTGCTAGCTGTAAGAGGAAAAAATAAGAGCATGAGGTCCAAGTACTAGTTCAAGCCCAAGTAATAGAATACACACATACACACACACACACACACACACACACACACACACACACACACACACACACACACAATTAGTTCAAAATAGATTAAAGGCCTAAAGAAAAAAACAAATCATAAAACTCTTGAAGAATCAGGTGTAACTATCTGTGATATTGCTTTAGGAAATATTTCATAAATTGATAGTAAAAATATAAGAAACAAAAAAATAGCTGGATTTCTCAGAAATGTTTCAGGTGATGCTATAAACACCACCAACAGAGTAAAACAGAAAACCATAAAATTTTAGAAAATATTTTTAAACTGCATGTCTGATAGGCTGATTATTTAGATGAAAAATTATTATGTAACTATATAATTATATTATTGTATAATACTCATTTTTAAAGAGGCAAAATATACGAACACACATTTCTCAAAAATACAAAAAAGTAGCCAAAAGACACATAAAAATGATTCTCAACATCAACAGACATCAGAGACATGCAAATTAAAATCAAGATGAGTTACCATTTCACATTCCTCAGATATTATTACCAAAAAGGTAGCTTGGAGCTGGTGGCCCATACCTATAATTATAGATACTCTGGAGACTGAGATCTGGGCAGGAAAGTTTATGACACTCTTATCTCCAATTAACCACCCAAAAGAGCCAGAAGTGGAGCAATGACTCAAGTGGTAAAGCACCAGGCTTGAGCAAAAAAAGCTAATGGACAATGCAAAGGCTGTGAGTTCAAGCCCAAATACTGGAATATGCACATGCATTTTCACAAGGAATTGGAGAAATTGAAACTTATTAAAACACTTTGGGAGCAGGTCTATGTAAAATGCTTCAACCATTTTGGAAAACAGTCATCACTATATGATATTACCAAAGAATTACCATACAACTCAGCTGTTATAATCCTAAGTATATACCCACGAGTCCAAGCAAACATTTGTGCATGGATTTTTTATTTTTTTGTCCTTTCCTGGGGCTTGAATCCTGGACCTGGGCTCTGTCTCTCAGCAATTCAGCTTAAGGCTAGCACTCTATCACTTAAGCCACAGTGCCACTTCCAATTTTCTGGTGATTAATTGGAGATAAGAGTCTCAAGGACTTTGCTGCTCTGGCTGGCTTTGAACTTCAGCTATCCGATCTCAGCCTCCGGAGTAGCTAGTATTACAGGTGTGAGCCACTGGCGCCTGGCTTGTGCATGGAATTTTACAGCAGCATTATTCATAACAAAAAGTCCAAATGACCACTCACCAATATATTGACAAATGTGTTTTTATACATTTAATGGAATGCTACTCAGCAATATAAATGAGTAGAAAGGAAGTGCTAACAAATACTACAACATGAACAAACCTCATTAAGTATGCTAAGTTTAAAGCCTGGTGCTGCTGGATCATCCTTATCTATAATCCTTTGTTGGGATTAACCTCTCAGGTGGCTAAGATCTGTAGGATCAAGCTAGGCCAGCTGGCGTAGAAAAGTTTGAGAGATTCCATTTCCAAAATCAACAAGAAAAGGCCAGACTGGAGATGTGGTTCAAGTAGTAGAGCACTTGAGCTCTGAGGAAGCAAGCTGATCACAAAAGCCCCAAGTTCAAGCCTTGGAATTCACAAGAAAAGGAGAAGAAACATGGGATATGATTTCATTTGCATGAAAGATAGACAAAAACAGAGAAAATAGTATCTGTCAAGGGCTGGGGGGCTTCGTGAGGCACTGGTGATTTACTGCTAGTATATGCCCTTTCTTTTGAGGACAATGAAATTTTTCTAAAATTGATTATGACAAAAAAGTGTGTGACTCTGAACATAATAGAAAATAGTTTTACAATATAAATTGGTGAATTTCATGTGATTAACTTCTCAGGACAGCTTTTTAAACAAAATGAGAGATTTTATAAAACAAAAGATTTTTCTATAAGGTTTCGTCCTAGTTTGTTTCAGTCATTTTTCTGTTTATTCTTGCCACTATCATACCCTATATGTGTATAATATAATAACACTGTAGATTATATTCTGTTTAAGGTTTAAAGGAGAGAAGTGCTCCTACCTTTTAAGTCTATTACTTTACTCTCATCTATCGAAGAGTTCTAGATTTGGATTTGGGCATAAAAGATAGCCAACAAAGTAATGATTTACTTCTCACATAAGCAAGTAAACTTGAAAACTGAAATTCAAGAACCATCCAAATATATCCATATACAACTAAAATAATCCTAATATTAAGTATAATTTATATACCAACACTTCACCAAACTCACACTATTTAGTAAAGAACTTGATATTTTAAAATCACACTTACACATTAGCATTTTAAAACTTTCTAAATTTAAAATTTGTAAATGTTAAATCATATTTAAGTATGGAATGGTCATTATATGAAATATAAACAATAGTATACTAATTAGTAGAAAATGTATATACATACCTCCCATCTAAAGCTGGGTATTTGTAAACTCCATTTTCAAGTGCATCAAGCAGCTGTGCACCTGTTACCCTGACAACTAAAACTGGGTCTACTATGGGAAGAACAGCCAAAAGATCGTGCAAAGTGAAATTCCCTGGTGGATGTATTCGGTCAGATCTGAGAGTGCCTATATTAAGAAAAAAAACATTGTTCATCATAAAAAAAACTTTTATGACTCAATGTTATGCTTAAAACTTCAGTGTTATCCACCACATTGACAAAAGTTCCTAATCATGTATTTAGTACCTCCCTCTGTGTTACCTACTTGATAATCATAGTTATATCTAGTATATTCATTTTTAAAAGAATTCATGTCATGGTAACTACCATTTTCTCTGTATGTTACAGAATATTACAACTGAAAAGCCACTGCCTCTCTCATTGTTTTCAGTCAGGATTATGCCTAAAGCCATTCCATAAAAGATCATCTACTTTCAAAGACTCCACAGGCAATACCTCCAAAGATTTCATAAGTCAATAATACTAAACTTTAACAAATTTCACATCTACAAAATGTTCCCACAAACTATCAGAAATTATTCATGTATAAGACAAAGGGTCCTTGTACTTTCAGTTACAATATCATTGCATGAAATTAAAATGTTAAATTATACTACATTATAAACTTTTGAAGCTTTCAGTTTCCTAGAGAGTGACATCATCCAGGCCTATTACCCATCATAATCCTAGACAGAACAACTTCATTCAGATGATTAATACACAAAGATGGCTAGGCTAGGAAGTTTTCCATTCACCTTACACAATTTTGCTTGCCACCTCTTCTTACTGCACAGGTATAAAAGGAAAACTGGTGAAAGAGCAAGCATTTGAGTAAAAGGTTTCAACTCACCACTCCTCATATAGTCAAGGCGTAATAGCACACCACATTTTAAACAGATAATGACAAAGACTAATGTTCATTTGAAACTTCTTTGAAAACAAAAGTTAAAATTTTTTAAAAAGTTAAAAACTAAAGCATTTAGTTTTCAAATAAACTGCAATATCTAATTACAAAGGTTGTACCTGAATACAACAGAAAATTGTAAACTTATCAAATAAAAATGAATTTCTAAATAGGATTTGCATTTATAGCTATTACAAATTCTGAAAACCTAATTTATTCTATGTTTATTTTTAACAACTTTAACAATGAAATCACCTGAATTAAGTAGTGCTACATCAGCACGAGTAGCCTCCAACATTGCATTAGTTACCAGGTTTCCAAGATTGCTCTCGCTTCTTCTTACAGTAATTTCACGACCATCTAATTCCGTATCAATTGGGCAGAGAACTTCTTCTAACATGTACTAAAAGAATTAAAAATTAGCTATCTAAGAATAAACATTTATATTTTATTAATTTTTCTCCTTCTGACCATTTTCCCTATCTCCAAGTGAAAATCAAATAAATTACTGCAATCTTTCCTCTCCAATTGAGTACTAAAAAGATGCAGAATATTACATATATCAGCAATCATTTATATTTCAGAACCACTTAGAGAGTCAGGTTATCAAATTGCAGGAGCCATCCTCCCATCTGGGAGAGCCAGAATACTGCTACTAAATGTCTATATACCCAATACCAAGCTAATCCAAACATAAAGCTATCTATTTATTCTTTAACCAAAATCAGAACTATATTCTCATCAAACCAGTTGGGGTACCAAACAGTACATGAACAGTACATGTACTTGTTGAACCTAGTCCATATTTCTTATCAGCTCTTGAAAATGTGAAGTTTTTGTTTGTTTGTTTATTTTTGCCAGTCCTGGGGCGTCAACTCAGGCCCTGGGCTCTGTCCATGAGTTTCTTTTGTGCTCAAAGCTGGCACTCTACCACTTGAGCCACAGCACCACTTTCAGTTCTGCAAATGTAATTCACTCCCTCTCTCTCCCTCCCTCTCTCCCTCCCTCCCTCTCTCCCTCTCCCTTCCTCCTCCCCCCCCCTCTCTCAGAATTACTGTGTGAATAAGGCCTTGGGAAGTAAGCTAAGCAACAAGTCTTCAAATTCATAATAAAAGTTTAAGTGGCCTCATTAGAAACTACGCAAATATGGAGGTACTTAAATAGAAAGCAGAAAAGAATTCCCTTTCATTGCAAGCTGATATAAACTTGTTTTTTTAAAATATACTTCTTAAGAAATTTGACTAATTTCTTTGTTAGAGAAGTAAATTCTTGGTGAATCTGAGTATTGAAAAATATTTTCACAAAATTACTTAACACACCTGGGAGCCAGTGGCTCACATCTGTAGTCCTAACAGATCTGCGTCAGCTTGGGCTGGAAAGTCCAGGAGACTCTTATCTCCAAATAATCACAGTAAAAGCTGAAAGTGAAGCTGTGGCTCAAGTGTAGTATGTTAGCTTTAAGCTAAAGGAGTTCAGCGGCAGAACCCAGCCCCAGAGTTCACGCCCCAGGAATGGCAAAAAATTAAAAATTAAAAAACAAAATAAAACAAAAAACCAGCCAGGTGCCAGTGGCTCACGCCTATAACCCTACCTACTCAGGAGGCTGAGATCTGAGGATTCGGTTCAAAGCCAACCTGAGCAGGAAAGTCTCTGAGACTCTCATCTCCAATGAACTACCAGAAAACCAGGGGCTGTGGCTCAAGTGGAAGAGCATTTACCTTGAGCTGACAAGCTCAGGGACAGTGCCCAAGCCCAGGGTTCAAAAAAAAGCCCTATGACCAACAAACAAACCAAACAAACAGAAAACTTAACACAAATCTAAACATTAATCTTGGTCTAAATTCCAATCATACATAAGGCCAAATAAAATTACTGAAAAATCAAAATCCAAATAAGGCAAAACTAATATATTACATTTTAATACTGTCTAAAAATGTTCATGTAAGCAATCCGCTCTTTGCTAAATAATGTAAGTAATATTCACCTACCTGTATGTTTTGGGTAAACTCTTTTACTATCGCTTTGATATATGAATCTTCTTCCAAATAACTTAAAATGTCCACTTTCTCGAATATGCATTGGAAAGATGAATCAAAAAGTCTTATATTTATTTTTGTCAGGTTTTTAAAATCAGATCCACTTTTGACAATCCAAGTTTCATTTACTTTCCTGATTCCATATTCATGGTCATGGCCTCCAAGAATCAAATCGACTCCTTCTGCTCCTTGGGCAAGCCTTGTATCATTTCCCCACTTCATGTGAGTTATTGCAATAACAAGATCTGCTCCTTCTTCTTTCAGTTCTACTGCTATTTCATTAGCAACATCAACATAATCTTTATAGTCTACATTTGACTTATTAACAGTGGCCAGAGTATCTAGCCAATCTTCTTCAACTAATCCCATTAAGCCAATTTTTATATTGTTCCAATTAACTAATTTTTTTACTACAGCATGTCCAAGAGGTTCAGAAGTAAATCTGTCATAGACATTACTGAGAAACCATGTAAAATGCATTTGTTTCATGTATTCTTCTAAAACATCAACACCAAAATCAAACTCATGGTTTCCTAAAATGAAAAAGTTTTACATGTAATTCACAAGCTTGTTATTCTATTTCCACATTAACTTTAAGTTTTCCAACTAGAAGAGTTCCGTATTTGAAAATCTATAGGTTAAGAGCTTTCATTCAACTATCCCAACTCCTCTTTACAAATGATTTTTTAAAAATTAAGAGGCCTTCATTCTAAAGATTTTCTCCTTGTAATTCAGATAGTCTTGAGTTTTTAAAGAAATTCTTCAGAAAAGCTATACAATCAGGGGAAATGCAATGATATGATTAATGATATTTATTGATTAATAAAATAATGACATAATGATAATAATGATTAATGATATTCGTTAATTAATAAAATTAATTAGGGCAAAACACTTTATATAAAGATATATACTTTATAAAAAGCTTTACCTCTACTGCTAACTGAAGTATCATTTTAAAAAGCCAATCACACTGTAAGAAATAGAAACCCTGAAATAGTTCTACTGCATTTTCTGCAATACTTGTGTTCCCTATGAAGTATAAAGTAATTACAGAAATCAAATTTGAACTCGGAAGTCACTAATATTTAAACTAATTCTGTGGTAGATCCTCTTATCAATGAAAAAACTCCAGTAAGATTAATAATTTTCTACTGACATGTATTTTTCTCATTTAATATTTTAAAGCATAAGATTCATCTAAAGGAAGCTTGAACAATATAGTGAAATTTTTTATCCATTTTTAGATTAATCAGCATGCTATTATGCAAAAATCAGGTGTAAGCTAGTTTCATCTTTCTGAAAATGTGTTGACAAGTGATGTTAATATATCAGAATTATAGATGTTTATGAATTATATTTGCTTTCATGTCATTAGAGAATTTTATAATTGTTGATTTGGTCGAAACCTTTTATTAGCAACATCTTCAATATTTCTCCCCTCCCAACATCCTTTATTGAGAAAATTCTTTAATGAGACTCTTACAGATAATACAGCAAATATTAGCTTCCCAATTCTGAACATCTAAGATGCTGCAAAACCTGAAAATATTTTGAGCACCAACATGATGCCATAGCAGATAATTTCATACCTAGACTCAGGTAACATGTCACGTCAAAGCACAGAGCATTTAGTTATGCAGAATTATCTTCAATTCAGGTATGTAAGGTATACATGAAACATAAATGAATTACATGTTTAGACCTGGGTCCCATCTCCTAAGATATTATTATTCTGTATATGCAAATATTTCCAAATTTAAAAAGTTAGAAATCCTAAACATTTCTAGTCCCAAGCATTTTGGATAAGAAATACTCAACCTGTTATAATTAAATAACCACTTATAGTTCTTTACAATAATACTTGTAATGTACACAAATCTTAATATATAACTATGGAATTAATAAAAGTATCATGATAAAGCTATAGGACCAAAGGTTGATTCATATAGATCACTTTCTTATGTATCAGCAATGAACAATGAGAACTGGAATTAAAAACACATACCATTACATTTATGTCCCTCCAAAATTAAATACTTAGGTGCAAACCTAACAAATATGTATACAATCTATATGAGAAAAAGTACAAAGCTATGATGAAAGAAATCAGAGAACTAGAGAAATTTACAAACAGACTCAATATTTCCAAGATTTAGTTCTTTCCAAATTGGTCTTTAGATTCAATGCACCAAAAGAAAGTTATTTTCTGTATGTAAGCAAAAAAAAAAATCTAATTGTATATGGCAAGCCAAAGACCTTGAGTAGGCAATACAATATTGGAAAATAACAAAAATTTAAAAACTGACATTAATTCATTTCAAGGTATGCTATAAACTACAGTGTTCAACATAAAGTAATACTGGTTAAAAATTCCACAAATAGATCCATGGACCAGGGTAGAAAATCTTGAAAAAGGTTCAAATAAATACAATAGACCTTTGACAAAGAAGTAATGACAGCACAATGGAGAAAACACTCTTTTCAACAAATGATGCTGAAACTGGGCATCCTTTTAAAGCTAAATATCACAAACTCTTAGAAGATAACATCAGAGAAAAACCTAAATAACTGTGTCATTGGAAATGACTTTTTAGATACAATGCTAAATAGGTAAAGACAGTGGACTACATTAAAAGTAAACATTTCTGCTCTAAAAAAGACATTATCATGTGAATGGAAAGCCAATCCAATGACCAGGAAAATGCTTACAAAAGACAACTGATAAAGAACATTTATATAACATATTCAAAGAATTCATAAAGCTGAATAATAAGAAAATCAAGAAACTAAAACGTGCCAAACACTTTAAGATGGCAAGTAAGCATATAAAAAGATGAACCACGTTGTACATCATCATGAAAATTCAAAACAAAAGAATATTACTTCATACCTATCAGAATGGCTAAAATTCAATTATAAACACTGTCACATATGGATGAGAATGGGAAGCAACAGGAATTCTCATTCATTGCTGGTTGGAATGCAAAATGATATGGCCTTTTGGAAAACTGTTCTGCAATGTTTCTTGACTTTTTTTTTGTAGTGCTAACATTTGGTAGTTTTCTTTTTTACCCTCTTTGTGTTATCTTTAAAAAGTTGTACAAAGGGATTTAAATCTGACCTGTCCATTTATGTGCATGATGTATTTTGATCAGAGTATGGCTTTGAACTCAGGGGTTTCACTTCCTATTCAGACATTTTACCATTTGAGTCATGCCCCATCCCCTTTTCAAATAAAGTCATCTTCATTGTTTCCCAGTCCAGCCTCAACAGTGCTCTCCCTATTTTATGTTTCCAATATAGCTGCAATAACAAGCACATATCACGTGCCAACCTTTTTATTGTTTGAGATGGAAGTCTCGTGAACTTTTTGCATACTGGTCCTAAACCATAGTCCACCTGATTTCAGCTCCCCAAGTAACTAGGATTACAGCCACTACACATTGCTCAGTTTTCTTAAAAAATAAAAGTAAATATATGATTCAGCAATCACACTCCTTGGAATATAATCAAAGGAGTAGAAATTTTATGCTTACAAAAACACATAATGATGTTTATAATGGCTTTTTTCTTTCACTGTGGCAATTTAGCAGCCACCAAGATGCTTTCTGGTAGAGGAATGGATAAATAAAATGTGGTTTCTCCAGACAAAAAAAGCATTAAAGATATGAGCACTGGAGTCAGCACCATTGGGCACAGAGGCATACAGCACCAGTGACCAGCTTATAGTTCACTTTAAATCTAAAGTTAGCTATCATGACTTTAGTTATTATTTTAGACACCAATGTTTTTAATGGCATTCACACCCCTAAATACCTGATCCCCCTCACTGTGCCTATGCCCAGTCACTCTGCTGGACTAAAAGAGAAACAATAATCAAATCTCTGGAATAACCTGATAGAAGAACAGATAGGACCCTCTGTGTCACTCCTGAGCACTTGCTGAGGTAAAGGCTTTTACTTCCCAAGAGGAAGGAAAACTCAGTTTCCTGGGAACCTACAGCCTACAGGAACAATTCCAATGATAACTCCTTGTATTGAATCCTACCCAGCACAAAAATATTTTAATGAGAAAATTATCAGGCAAAGCACAACATTAAAATACAGTCTTCCCACAGTAGATACTAAAATTGAACAAAGCATTGCCCAATAATTTTAAATAAAATTAAAGACGGCCAAAAAGCAGAATTTTTTGATGGGAGAAAAGAAGAAATGATAAAACTCTATTGTAAATATGCTCCTTTGTGTAAAAAGATGAGGGAATAAGTATGAATTGTTATATCTGTTTATATGACACAAAAAGATGCTTGAGGAAAAACTAAAAAAAAAAAAAAGATTACTCAAAGAAAGAAGGAAGTAGGAAAAGGGCCAAGCACAGAAGTTTTTTACTCTATAATAAAAATGTTTTGGTTATGAATGTATTTAGGTGAATATATTATCTGAATAGATATTTATTTGTATCATACAATAGAGCCTATGATAAAAGTACAAACAAAAATATATTGTTGGAGCATAGTTCAAAAATAAGAACAAACTTCAATCACTTAGATGTTATTTTGCTTGAGGTAAGAAATCATAGTCTAGTCATACTGCATTTAACATTCACTTCTGAATGTAAGAGAAAAGGTTCTAGGCTGTGTTTTAAGTTTTATCAACAAGTGTTGATATTCTGTGACTTTTAGTGAATTATTACTTTTAAATATCAATAATCACCTTAAAATATCAAGTTCCATTAATATTAATTAGCTCATCATCAATATCTCAGAATTAAAGCAGTAAGTAAAAAAATTAAGGATATTCAAATGTTAAATCAAGGTTGTATACTTCACCATCAGTATAGACAAAATATATTTATCTTAAAGTTGGTCTTTAATATTACTTTTCAAGTATGAGGATAAAGTAGTCGGTGTCAAAATTCTATCAAGTTTTAAATTTTGAAGCCCATTTTAAAATGCTCATCAATGTACTTTATTGCTATTCCAATCAACAACTGTTTGAATCAGTTTTACTTACTTTAAATGCAACCATATATCCTAAATAATTCCCATACTTGAATACATTATGGCTTCTCCCAATAGAGTGACAAAACAATATCATACATAAAATGGAATGTTTAATTTGTTTAATTGTATTTATGATGTATGTTAACTAGGTAACATGCTGGATATCTTTTTTTTTTTTTGGTTGGTTATGGGGCCTGAACTCTCTAGGCGCTGTCCCTGGGCTCTTCAGCTCAAGCCTAGCATTCTACCACTTAAGCCACAGCATCACTTGTGGCTTGTTCTGCTTATGTGGTGCTGAGGAATCAAAGCAGGGACCTCATGTATGGAAGGCAAGCACTCTACCATTGAGCCACCTTCCCCGCCCTGGATATTTTCAGTAAACTCTTCCAGCTTCACCCCTATCTTTTTCTACCCTGGTATGGGTACTCCAGTTTCTATGGGCTTCAATACTGGCTCCTTTGTCTGTCTTCCTACTGAGTTAAACCAATGGTAGGCACAGATATCAATGTGGAGAAACTGGTTGGGAACAAAACAGTTTCAAAGTACTTATTCCCCACATTTTCTTCTCCATTCCAGATCAGTATAGACACACTGTAATTTGTACTGAAAGTCATGTATCTTACTAGCTGATCTGTCCATGGCAGTTCTTTCTCTTTCCAGATTAGAGGTTCTAATAGAAATCAAGTGTAAGCAATAATCTAATTTAATGTGATATATATGCATATCTCCACCTCAAATATTATTTTATCATGTGATCAATATAAAAATGATTGCGATATTTTACAAAATTCTGCTTTCATACTGACTTATAAACTGCAGTGCACATGAAGTTAAACTTAAAACAGACCAGTTTGGAGATTTTCCTTCTTTTATCTATACCTTTGTAAATAGCTTTTTTATTAGACTCTTCTTAAATTTCTCATGTGGATGTGTCACCTATTTTCAGCCAGGGTGAGACTGATATGTATAGATAAATGCTTGACAATTCAATAAAAGTAGTATGCAAAAATGATGCAATCATACAATGATCTCCGCTACAGGAAAAACATACATGAAAGAATATGGAAGCAAGTATCACAAAATATTGATTAAATAATAGCATCATAATTAGTTTCTGCTTTTTGGTATTTTTGTACTTTCTAAATTTCATTGAATTTATTAAAAATTTACAAAATCAAAACAAAAATATAGCATAATACTTAGCAAAACTGAGAAGCTGAAATAACCAACAAGGATCAGCTATTTCTTCTCAACTTCTTAAAACATAGTTCATCTAAAAATAACGTCTATAAAAAGAAGATTGAAATCAACCAGATACAGATTTGTGGTACAATGTCAAAGTTACTGAAAATAATAACATCATTTACAACAAATGTATACATTCCTTGGGGTAAGGAGTTCAACACTAAGAAGTCAGTGTGCTACCATGAGAACATAATACTAGAACATGAACAATAGTAGAACATAAACAAGTTAGGACTTTTGGTCCAATCCAAGTGAAGGGACCTTACAGATATATACTGGATTTAAGTGTGGAACGTTTCTAGACTGTAAACTCTTAATCCACATAGTAAAGAGTCCCAGAATTATTTCTTGGTCCTTGGTAGACAAGACAAAGAATGGAAGAAGAGTTAAGCCAGGCACAGTGGCTCTCTGTAATCTCAGCTACTTAGGAGGCAGAGATTAGAGGACTGCAATTTCAGGTCATCAGAGGCAAGAGGTTAATGAGATCTAATACCAACCAATATGCTGAGCATGGTGCGATTCCCTGATTATCCCAGCTATACAGGAGATATAAACAAGAAGATTACAATTAAGGCTACCCCAGGTGAAATGCAAGACCCTATGTGAGAAATAGGTAAAATTAAAAGGGTTGGAGGCAGGGCTCAAGTGGCAGTGCTCATACCTAGCACTAAGTTGAAATGACAGAACTAGGAAGTAAAAAAAAAAAAGAGGACTGATTCTTTTTTCAGTGATTTTTTTGTCTTTTGACACCTAAAGAAAAAAAGTTTGGGGAAAATGGCATGAATGACTGGATTTTATATAGTCATTTTGTTCTTTACTTGGTTCTGCCATCTTATCTACTTTTACAATAAATATCCCCTACTGCCTATCTAGAATGTCTCAGTATCCCTTTTTTCCCCTATGTCAAGCTCTTCATACTTCCAGTTTTATTGTGGAAACAAAAAGAAAACAACCTAAATATGTAATAACAAGTTCATTAAATAATGAAATACCCAATGATTAGAATACTATGCACCACCAATATAAAAATTATTTCCTGAACAATGAATGTGTACATTCAAAACTAATTAAAATGATAACAATTTGATGTTTATATTATCATAATAAAAAGGCTTTCATAATGAATGAAAATATTTACATTGCATTGTTCTTTTTAAAATAAATGTGATTAACCAATAGGAGAAAATGCTTATTAGATAAGTATAAATCCTAATCAATGATTCTCAGTGCCTAAATACAGAAATGTGCTTATTTCAAATAATCTAGTAGGAGTAGTACGTAAATTATAAAACTTGAATAAGAGTTAAGAGGATCAATTACAAATACTTACCAAAAACGGCAAAATGGACTCCCAATTCATTTAGTATAGAAATCATATGTCTTCCTTTTGTTATTGTACTTAAGACGGAAGGATTTAGGCAATCACCACTAAAAATCAAGAGTGGGTTCAGGAAACTGAACTTTTTTAGAGCTGTTGCAAATCTAAAAGAAAAAATGTTAAATACTGTAATTTTATTCCTCTATTGTGTACTAAAGACATTTTATTTACTATTGTTACACATGAAGTTTATTTCAGAATTGCTAAGGTCATCCTACAAACAGATATCACGTATAACCATTAGTAAATTTACATTTTAAATAGTAATGTGAAGATTTTTCCTCAAAATTAAGAGTAAAAACTAAAGTGTACAAGGCATGGATGTTACAAGAATACTTTCTATAACCAGTGTACCTCACTTTTTAGCATAACACATCTTTAATTGATAGGCTAAAAATTTCTTAAATCATGTTTTTCCTTTAAATCTGAAATATACCACAAATGATATCCTTCTACCCCATGATGTAATCACTTAAAATATATAGGGACACTCAAACTATACTACAAAATACAAAGCCTTAAATGTGAATTATGTCCCCTGAGAGCAAAAGGAAAGATTTCTCTGACGTGTAACTCGGTTTTTAAAATTAAATTTCTTCCATCAGGTTTGATGTAAGATAATGCTTCCTTGTAGTCTTGTAATCTAATGTTCCACTGGTAAACAAATCTCTTCAACCTCATTACTAAGTACTTCCTTCATTTTACTGCCTCCCTTGCTTTCCCTTGAAAACTGAACTTCCCCTGAGAAAAGCCTTTCCTATATCAGCCCTCTCAGTGGCTACTACCCATTCTCTGACTCGTCACAATGAATGAGAGTGTGGAGACTGAAAAGAGAATGTGTCCTCTATGCTAATTCCAGGTTGGATAGTTTTCCTTTTTAAGCCTCAGAATATCTGAACTGACCTCTCTTCATATCAGTAAGTTCTGGTGTCAATCAAATGATCCTAGTGCCAAGAACAGACCTTGGACAACTCTCTCAAACTTCTATTTTGTATGTTTTGTTCCTTCCAAACTAGACTACTCATTCCCAACCAATCTAGAAAACTTGTGACTTCTCTAAAACTGTTTAAGGCCTTGTCAGAGGATGAAATGTGTTCCTCTCTAAAAAATTATGTTCAAGTCTTAATCCCAATACTTATTATATAACATTATTTGGAAATAGATACTTTGCAAATGCAATCAAGCTTCAGAAGAGGTTATTATAGTAGGCTTAACATAAAGACTAATATCCATACATGCAATTTGTGTCACTAAGACACACATGAAAAATGCCATGTGAAGACAGAACCCCAAGACTGCCATCACACACTTAAAAGCCAAGAAATGCCAAGGATGCTAACCTTCACCAGAAATAGATTCTTTCCTTACAGTTCTTAAAGGAGCCAGTCTTCCAACACTTTTGACTTCACACTTCCAAACATCCAGATGTTAGAGAAAAGATTTCTTTTATGTTAAGCCATCTATGTTGTACCAATCCTTGAAAACTATTGCAATACTGATATACATGAATGACTGATTAAATAAGTACCAAGAAATTCCCTACTCAGGACTACAAATATTTATGTAGATATTTTGACCTTAGGAAAGTGTATAGTAACTTTCCTTTAACTTTGAGCTGTGCACAATGACTTCCTTCCAAAAGTATGACAATGGGTGAAAAAAGGAGGTTTACAGTAGAAAACCTGATAGATCAATGTCAACAGTTATGTCATGTTGGTAACATGTGTCCCAGAAATTATATGATTAAAATGAGCACTTTACTTCTAAGGTCTTCCTTGAAAAAATGAAAAAAAAACAGCCCAATCTAATCATAAGAAAAAATATACCAAATATCTGACAAGCAATCCCTAAAACCAGCATGGTTCTTAAAAACAAAGTCTAGGAATCAGGAATATCAAATGCAACATAGTATCCTATATGGGATATTGAAACACAAAATCACATCATGTATCAATTGAAGATATCAGAATACAGTTGTTGGTTAATAACAGTGTCAACTTTGGCTCATTATTATACCATACTTAATGCAAAATATAAGTAAGAGATGTGTGCGCACTTTTTGGACTATCTTTGTATTTTTTCTGAAAATCTAAAATAGTTTAGAAATTGCTTAATGACCAAAACCCAACAAAATTCTTTTCACTACTATCACCACAGGAAGATTGTGTCATTATTCAGGACATATTCATCCATTCAAAAGTATTCAATACTCACTTTCCATTAGACTCTGATGAAAATGCAAGCATGTGCTGGGAAGGTGGCTCAGTGGTAGAGAGCTTGCCTTGCATGCATGAGGCCCTGGGTTCAATTCCCCAGCACCACATCAGCAAAAAGAAAAAAAGCTGGAAGTGGCACTGTGGCTCAAGTAGTAGAGTGCTAGCCTTGAGCTGAAGAGCTGAGGGACAGTGCCCAGGCCCAGAGTTCAGGCCCCACGACTGGACCCCCCCCCCCCAAAAAAGAAAATGCAAGCAATATAATTCTTAAGAGTAATCAAGGGAGTATGTAATGTGTTCACAAATCCTCAGTCTATGATACCAATTATACATCACACAGTATATCAGACCAGATACTCCACTGAAAACAATGGGCAGATTAATAGATGTATGAAAAACTAGCCTGTCTTTTCGAAGAGATACTCAGTAGCCTCCAAAATGCCTATATAGTTCAAATTAATTCCTCTACAGAATTTAGGCAATAAGATTTTTCTTTGCAAGATAAAGAAGAGCTAAACATAAATAGATTGTGGATAGAATGGGGAACAGAACTGAAATACTGAAAAAAGAAAGGATAATTGGAAGATGTTACTCAACTATTTTCTATTCACTCCTACCTACATAGTCAGCCAGCCTCTCGGTACCTTTTCAGGACCATCATACTAGCTACTGAATCAGAAATAGTTTTATTGTTGAATTAAAACCACTTTGTAAAACTATTATTGAATGTAGTAATAATTTAAAGGTTCTGTTACCCAGAATTAAACAAAAAAATGCAGATTCTTTTCTTCTCTTTCTGGATATGTACATAACACACATTGTTGGTATACTGTCAAATAATTGTCTTGTTTACAGTATCTGTCTCCCATTTCCACCTGTTCCTTCTAATTTTTACTGCCACACTTATTACTCCTCTGAGACTAATTTTCCTTACAGATTTTCTATCTTTTCTACTCAATACCAACCTTAATATCTTTAAAACATCTCTTAGATCTGGTCACAACCACATTTTTGACCACTTACTAAAACCTACACTAGAGCAGCTAGCTATGTATTCAAAATCTGGTAGGGCATCAAGTTTTAGATATCACTATTCTTTTACATTAGAGCCATACTGCCTTACCTTACCACACACTGCAATTCCTAGTATTTTCCATCTCTGACTCTCTAGACCAATCAGGTCCATGGACCCCAGACTCCCATATTTAAAGGGAAAGGGTGAATAAAGCCTGGAGTAGTGACTAAGGTAACTTACCAGCAAATATCACCCAAGCAGAAAAATTTAAAAAAGAATCTAAGCCTTCTAAACATCAATCCTGAAACTTCCCATCTTCATTTAATCACTCCATGTTAAATTGCTAAATGCCCTGGCGGTGGTATCAAGGGTCTTGCACATGCTATCTCAGTGCTCTACATTGAGCTACATCTCCAAGCCTACTGTGCTTTCTAAATCACTCTAAGGTCATGAGTCCATAAGTCTCAGAAAAAGAAGAGGACAAGTCTGTATTTTAGGTCTTTAATAATTAGTAGTTATAGATGCCAGCCAGCTGATCCCTGCTAAAATACATTTAAGGGGGAATGCTAGCATTCATTAAATGTTTACCACCAGTTCAACATTATTACTGATTCTTTCTATAACCTGCCTTTTTACTGGGGGTGGGGGCAGGGAGTGATGGGTCCTCTCTTTTTTACAAATGATCCAACAGGGGGTCAAGAAGGAAGACTTCTCCAAGACACAAGCAGTGGAAAAGCCCGGTGTGTACCTGGGTCTGGATAAAACAAGTCCACCTCCCATGCTATCTACTTAAATAGGGCCCCCTTAGGGCCCATGCAGACTGAGCCGCAGGGCCTCCCTCCTTGGCCCAGCCCCTGTCCTCCCGGGGGGCACCAACACCAGGTTTGCTAACCAGGCCCAGCAAGGAGGCCAGTCGGTGCCCAGGAGGGTCTGCGTGGTTCCCAGAAGCCCAGCCCGCGTCCACGACCCTGGCTGCCCGTTTTCTCTCCTTGCCCCGCACCACCCCGCATTTCCCCCCAGGCCCCGGCGGGGAAGATGGCGGCCCACACCTCGCAGCGCCTCCCACGGGCTCCTCGGGCCGCGGGTCCACGTCATAAACGTCGTTGAAGTGAAGGATGGTCAAATCGCAGGGGCCCAGGTCTCCAGGCCGCTCCCCCCAGGTCACCAGAGCGGGCTCCGCCTCCAGCCCAGAGGACTGCGGCGGTGCCAAGGCTGGAGGCTTCTCCGCAGTCTCCATGGCCCGGGGAAAGGACTAGGCCGAGGCTCAGCTCCGCAGCCTGTAGAATGGAGGCCGGAGCATGCGCAGTACATGACGTGACGTGCAGTGGCGCGGGTGACCTAGAGTGGTGGCCTAGAGCTCGTCTGAAGCCTCTGGCCCACTTGGAGGACCTAGATAGGACTGGAGGCCCTGCCATGGCCTTGTGGGCCTTGAGGACCACTCAGTGCCCTTGTTTCTTAGCATGAGTGAGGCAAGTGTCAGACTAGCAGAGCTCATAGCTCTGAAAGTCAACGCCCATAACTTTAAAGTCGTCGTGAGAGGTTTTCCCCCTTGTGATCCTCACACCTCTTCAGGGAACTGTACCTGTTCACAGGAACATAGGGTGGAGGCTAGCCATCAATGACTTTTGAAAGACAGCTTTTGTCTACACCTGATTCTGTGCTTCATCCTGTGACTGAAGAGGTCTTTCCATTAATCTATTAATTTAAAAATAATTAAATACCATATACCAAGCATTTATGCATGGAACTGATTGTAATAAAAATAAAGTCCACCTTTACTCTCGGGCACATGATGGTTTTTATTTTATTGTATTTGTGTGTGTTTTGTTTTGTTTTTACTTTGTCTTTACCACGTTCTTTCTAGACTGTGTTATAATACCCAGAGCCTTTTTCTGCTTCTACTGTAATCCAGGTGACCTTTCCTTCTTTTGGCTTTACTTAAGACGCAGGCAATTCACAATTTGTTTTCTTGTTTACCACAATCCTTCGTTTGTGGTTTTCTATCACATCTGCTATGACAGTGAAATGCTACTGTCTTTTGTTGTGGTATGAGCTCTGACAGTCCTATGAGAAGGGACCAAGTGAAAAACTAATGCTTCTATTCAATTACATTTTACACCAGTTATTGTGGGCTGATGGAATCCATCCAGTCAATCAATAAGGTTCCTCAGAGTGCTGCAACCCTTTGGAATATTGCCAGTTGATCATTTGCTCAATTGAGATTGGATTAAATGGATACATCTGGAAGAATACAACGTGTCAACTTTGATAAAATAAGAAAAATGAAACTTGGAACAAATAAGTTAAGGAAATTAAAATAGTAGCAAAGACTCTCCTTTTAAAAAGCTACAGGCCAACAATGTTCAACAAGTGAGTTGTAATGAAGTGGCTTGTTCAGTCTAGGGTTATGAAATTAGTGCAAATCAAGGTACTACAGACAGAGGAAGATAAACCAATAAACATTTTATTTATGTTATGGCTATAAAATTAGTTAAAATATAATTTCTATAGTCCATTTGAAACTAGCATTGCTTTGAGCATTGATCAGAAGACTATTAAGATTGCCTTAACAAGAGAAAAAATATATCATTGTAAGTTTCTATATTATTATGTGGAAATAGAAAATTAAATGAGTATTGGTAAATTGTGTAACAATGTCTTTGATTAAGTTAGTTGTTATTAATCCATCAGCATGTAAGGAATAAAGAAAACTTTCTTGACTTGGTAAACCAACCTTAAATATGTTCCCTTTAAGACTAGGAGTAAAGCAAGGCTGACCTCTATCACCACTTCCATTTAACAGATTACTAAATATCTTGGAAAGTACTGCAAGGGAAAAAAAGAAATAAAACAAGAGGAAAAAAATCACTGAATATACTAGATTAAGAAAATAAACGACAAAACAAGATCACCCAATAGAAACAGAAAAGGCATTTGATGCAAGCCCATGGACATTCCTAATCAAATGTCCAACAAATGAGAAACAGAAATGAAATCTAGCTGATAAACAGCATCTGTGTAAAGCTTAGAGTGAAAAAATTTGGAAAGACAAGGATTCCCACTTTTATCACTACTGCTCAGCTTTTTTCTGTCTTTGTAAGAAAGGTTTATTTTTATTAGCATGATAATTTCCAGTGTTATCCATTTTCTTGGAAATGATATTATTTCAATCTTTTTATGACTAAATAAAGCTCTATAGTGTACATATACATATTTTTTACTTTGTCCTAACCAGTATAATGAGGCAAGAAAGAAACTAAGACCTAAACTGGGGGAGGGGAGAAATTAAGTAAAACTTTATTTTTGATGACATAATTTGACACATATAAAATTTGGAGGAATCCAAATATTCAAAATATATATTGATGGACTATATGGATGGAAATATTTTATTCTACCATCACATATTTTGTAAATCTAATTTTTAAAAATTAAGCTTGTTTTAAAAGTCTGAATACCAAATAAAGAGGTTCAACAAAACTGCAAAATCACAAGATACACAATCAATTTACATACATCAATAGTATCTCTTGACACTATCAATGATCAATCTGAAAAAAATGAAAGTAAGAAAATCCCATTCACAATAGCACCCAAAGGAACAAAAGTACTTAGAAATAAATTTAACAGACATGGCTGCCTGTAAATCAAAAATCATAAAAACATTCTTAAATTCTTAAGAAAAATCAAAGTAAATAAATGGAAAGATATTATTCATGGATTTAAAGACCCAATATAAGTATCGATTTGATATAAAATAATTTATGGCCAACATAATCTCTGTCAAAATTCAAACAGGTCTCTTTATAGAAATTCAAAAACTAAGTTTAAAATTTATATGAAGCTGGGTGCAGGTGGCTCACGCCTGTAATCCTAGCTACTCAGAAGGCTGAGATCTGAGAATAACGGTTCAAAGCCAGCCTTGGCAGGAAACTCCATGAGACTCTTATCTCCAATAAACCACTAGAAAACCAGAAGTGGCGCTGTGGCTCAAGTGGTAGAGCTCTCGCCATGAACTGAAGAGCTGAGTAATAGTGCCCAGGCCCAGAGTTCAAGCCTCACAACCGACAAAATAAATAAATAAATAAAAATTTATATGAGACTGAAAAGGACAAGAATTCAAAAAACTAAAAAAAGAACAGGATCATTTATTTTCCATTCCATGAGGTATTTTTCCTCAACTCTGTGAAAATATCATAATGATTACTTTGAAGTCTTGATCTCTGCTACGTCAATATCTGCATTCATTTGTCATTTTTAAAGTTGATTCCCATCTTTACTGATGCTTTCATGTACTGCTCCTTGCATGTCTAATAGTATTTGGTTGAAAACTAAACATTATATAATGATCATCTATAGTAACTTAAATCCTGTTGTGCATATCAATATAATCCTTTTGTTTTGAAGAATACTTTCTTGAATTCGAATTGCAAACTGTCTCTTCTCTGTTTGGCAATTATTGATGTACACATGCTTATGAAGTACAAGATCCTGATTCAACTTCAAGGGCACAATAACTGGAAGGAAACTTAGCTTAAAAAGCATGTTTGGAGAAGAGCTCAAGTATTTTAACTTTTAGGATACATATTTGGTTAATTATATTTTATTTTTTACACTGTATTTTTTCTGGTGTGGTCCTTCTTTCTGTAAGCTCAGTTGGACAATGCAGGTGATCATAAATCATGATAAGAAGTAGAATTAAAAGTCAATTCCCAGACTAATGTTTAAGAAAGCTTCAACTTTATTGGCTATGGCATTGTTTTTGATCATTTTAGAAGTCTCTCAATAGGAATAAACAAACAAAAACCAAGGAAACAGCATTTGAAGTTGTGTATAGATTTCTCTGAGAGCTCTTTGATTTCCCTCTCCAAAGGAAATGAAATCATATCTTTGATAAACAAGTAGGCTATTTTAAAGCCCTCTGCTTAAGAGAATAAAGTTTAAAAAATAAATTGTAGGTCTCAAGGGAAAACAAATAGAATGTTCTCCATTTCTTCATATGTACACATTCTTCATACCACCCTCAGGAAAATGACTTCAACTATTAACCAAGGATGGAAATATCTAATTGGTCATTTCCATTTTGTAATTGTCATGTGTATAGTTAAACTGTCAAACTTACAGAATCTAGACAAATTTGTCATACCACACATGATCATATGACTACAACATTAAAAAGCCAGTTTGCAGGGGAGGGGGAGGTTGCTCTCACTGTTACTACAACAGTTAATATTTTCAATTACTTTCAAACAAAAGCTGAGAAAAGTGAAGTAAAAAGTAATAATGATTGCTTTTTTTTTTATTTTTCCAGTTGTGGGGCCTGAACTCTGGGCTTGGACACTATCCCTGAGCTCTTCAGCTCAAGGCTAGTGCTCTACCATTTGAGCCACAGCACAACTTCAGCTTTTTCTGCTTATGTGGTTCTCAAAAATTGAACCCAGGGCCTCATGCATGCAAGGCAAGCACTGTACTACTGAGCCATCTTCCCAGCCCTGCTTTTCTTACTACACATGTTTCTTCCAAAAAGAAAATGGGAAATTATTATTTGTGGGTAGAAAGCAGAAATAATTAACAGTATAGAAAATGATAATATTGCCAATGTTAGACTTCTTAAGTTACAAAGATATTTGAACTATCGTAGGTTAATGGGAAAGGCAATAATAAAAGAATATACACAACTATCCAAGTGTAAGAATGAAAAATATTCAATTTCAGCAGTAATGAACTAGCAAAGAATTATGTTGTAAATTTCTTGAATTTAGGCTCCTCAGTTGTAACAAATGCATACTTTAGGTAGGGAATATTGATAATGTTACATACATGGATGTAGGGGAGTATATACAAAGTCTCTGACCCTTTTCATTTTTCTAAAAACTACAACTGCTCTTTAAAAGGGAGGCCATTGAAAAAAATCCTATTGTTAAAATAATGTATGAAGAGATAAAATTCTACCTCCATACTCTTATGTCCTGGCTAACCTTGATAATTTAAACTGACTTAAGGTAGTTTGACAAAAGGCACACACACACACACACGAGATATATGATACAGCCCCATGTGACACAAAAACCTTCTTTGGGAAAGGAAAACCCAGAGGATTTTTTGAGTCAATCAGTGGTATAATGAATTGCTTAAAGAAGCAAATTATGAATGTGATAAGGCAAATAGCTTGAGCTAAAGGAAGTTAATTAAGAGTTATTACACAGAATCTCCTCTGCTTCAATCTTCCAACCTTGA